GCTCATAATATTACTGTGTCTTTTTGACAGTGGCATTTTCATTTTGATGTTTGTTCAATTAAACTGGGTTGTTGTAATTGCTCCATAAAGCTACTAATTATAATTTTCATTGTTAAGATTTTCTGTGCCTTTCTGTGTGTGTTTTCAGGCAGATATGGGGATGACCTATGCAGAGCTCTCCATCTATGGCAAACTAAGAAAAATTGCCAAGGCTGGACCATATAGTATGTTCTGTAAGCTGATTAACATGTGGAAGGAAATTTGCACTCCAAGAGAGGTAATATACCAGAGGGAAAAAAAATGCTTTGCCAAAATAGAGTATGTTTGGAGAAAGCTTGAGTTCCTTTTAACTGAAAGGGATAGTTTAATTAATTTGTGTTTAGGGATTATTCCACAGCTGTAGCAGAATATGCTGAAAAAGCTGCTATGCATCTCTTTAAATGGAGCTTGTTGTCTGTGTTGCAAATTGTTAAAACAGTAATTGGGTAATTTGAACACAATTACTTCAGAACTACACCTTCAGGGGAAAATTGTTCTCTGAAGTATAGACAGCCAACTACTCTTGGAACCTTTGGTTACGTGTTCTGAGACAACAAATGGCTCTTGCCTTGGAAGAATTACCTACACTGTGTAAAGGCAGAACACAGTCCTCAAAACATTGTTCTCCTCTACACCTTTTAAACACTAAGAAACTTCATCTGCTTAAAAGCTATATTTTCTGTACACCAGGTGGCATCCAAGGTTAAGCATTTCTTCAGGATGTATTCAGTTAACAGACATAAAATGACCACCCTCACTCCTTCCTACCATGCTGAAAACTACAGCCCAGATGACAACCGGTTTGACCTGAGGCCTTTCCTTTATAACACTACATGGTCCTGGCAATTTGGGTGTATAGATAAACAGGTAAATGCCTCATCTTGTATGGGTTTATTTTTAAAGTCCTCATGGTGGGTCAAGTCTGGTTCCAGTAAATCTCCAGCAAAAGACAACTGGCATTAAGGGTAGTAGTTGTGGCAGAAGTAACTGTGATTGCTGTTTTCACACAACTATGAGGCTAAGTAAGAATCCTCTGATTTCAGTGTTTTTTTTTAAATTAAGTACAGCTTGTCATACTGCTATGAAAGCAAGAAGAAAAAAGAATATAAATACTGAAGCCAGAAACTAATAGGTGCCCCCAAAACTCATGGAGTCTTGTGCTGATGGGGAGAACAAGCTTAGGTGTTTGAGTTTCAGTTCAGGACCTGTCTGAAGGGATTTGTTTAACTGCAGAACTGAGACTTGACCTACATCTGTGTGGGGAAAGCCAGCAAGAGGCAGCAGTTCACCATGAATACTTCTCCCACCTGCTTCTGCAGCAGTTCCTTCTTTGAACCTTGAGTCAGTTGACTCACAAATACATGTTTGCTCAAACACAACAGCTTAGTTTGGGCACTGTGAGGTGTGGAGGGGCTCAAGCAATTATCAGAGCTGTGCTTAACTTTTTGTAGTTTTTAGCCACTCCTTCTAACTTATTTTAATGCCTCTTTTATGGCCAAAGTGGTAGGGTGAAGAATTTTAGCACCTTGAAGTTTTTTCTGCCAGAGATTTTACACCCCAGTTGCTTTTAAGAATATGTTTATATATGTAATAAAATATTAATTCCTTCGTCTGTGAAATGCCAGACATGTTGTAATAGTGTTTTATTACCTTGAAACCTGGGATAAAAGCTACCATGTGCAGTACTTTATTGTAGGTCTGTATGGTGGGGATTTTTTTTCCCCATGATTTTGGATTTTTTCCCACTGAGGTCTAGGACAAAAGTTCTTTTGGCCTCAGTGGGAGTCGGGTAAAATATTTTTGTAGGGTCTGGACCAAACTGTAATTATTTTATGCTTACAGTAAATGTGATTAAGATCTTTTAATGGTGCAGGATATTGTTACAGTCTTCAGCTAGATTTGTATGCAATAGCAGTTGTGTTCTGCAAGGGTATTAGCCATTGCAGCTTACTCTGGGAGTCAAGTTTGGGGAAGATTTGTATTGTGTAGGG